TGTGAGTTGGGATGGGAAAACGTACTCTTCAAACCCAGCATTAACTTGAAAGCTGTTATAGCAACTCTTCTCCGTAGGAAACAAAAATTTATCCGAAGTTTGGTAATTTTAAATGAGTTCGCAATGATCACAGTGCAATGATGCAGTGAGCGCATACAGCGGATGTTTACATTAGAAAACATCAACAAAGTCTTGAGAATTATTTTTAAAAGTTAAGGAATTGCAGGACTTATTTAATATCGTAAAGGTATCGAAAGCCTATATATTCACTATTTCAACATGGGAAAGCTGTTCTTCAAATGGGTGCCTCGTTTACTTATCGTGAAAGTTACAATGGCAAGATTGCATCAATTGAAGTTCGAATTAGTGTCCCATCCATTATATATTCCAAATCTAATTCCTAGCAGCTATTAGCCGTTGGCAAATCTTAAAATCCTGCTCCACGAGAAAATAATTAATTGAAATTATTGCGGATATGACTTCGTTTTTTTAGCGTCTTGGTGCATCGTTCTATAAAAAAGGCAACGAAATGATAGAGAAGCGTTGAACTTATTGTATCATCATTTAAGGAGATTATGTTGATGAACAAAATAATATTTTGAGCAACACTAAATTTTTTGTACTTCTTTAATGTCTTTTAAAGTGTCATATTAAATTTCGTGGCACTTCTACAAATTAGAAGGTTTTTATTTATCGATCGATGCACGCACAACAATCTCTCTAACCACAACGAGTAATTGCTTGGTTTGATTTTTGACATCAACATCTGCACTGCTTGAGCTGTGCAAATTGTTTTAATAACAGCGCTCTCCTTACCATTACACATCTGGCAAGAGATACAACAATTACTTTGGAAATGAATTACTATAAAAATTTGCCCCTTTTTTCTTCGAAGTCAAGAAACTATCGCTTTAAATAACACATAGTTTTTGAAAAAGAACGCTTAGTTACCAAGGTAAGAACAGATTAATTTTGAAAATTTGTATTGTTCTAGAAAAAATGCGAAAACACTATAGTTAGCCGAAAGCTAACAGTAATTCCTACAATGACTTTTCAAAATATAGCGTTGTATCGGAGTGATCAAAGAAGTGGTGTGATTCGAGTCATTTCCAACAGCGTTCACCTTTGGGCCAGAACATGTTAATGTACGAAATTTCTTCAAAATATCTCAAAGATTGCGCCGTATAGGTTGAACGCGAGAAAGAAAGACCAACAAACGGATAAACAAGTTTAGATAAAAAGGTCTAGTATCAAGTAATTCTGAGTGTTGCATACATTCGTATAAACTTGAATGCAACAAGTTGTGCAGGGAAAAAAATGCAGTCGATTTTGGGTAAAAATATTTTATTTTTCGAACAAATCTGTCGAAATCTGACTTACAAGCTGTTCAGAATACGGCAAGCTTGACGTGAAACATAGTGTTAAGAAAAACGGGATTAAAGCTTTCAAGTAGTGACTTTAATTAAACAGTCGAATTTTCGAGTCCAGTCAAGAATTCGATTCGCCATGAAATTTTTTGCCTACTGTTCTTGAGTATTTAAAGCGGCCCGTAAAACGTTAAAATAATTATGAAAAAAAAAAAAAAACTCACAAGGTATCTTTCATTACTTCTTAAGAAATTTAAAATATTTTTCAAAACTACTAACTTTCTAACACGACATCAATAAATGGTTAAGGGGAATTTTTAAATTACAAATTTTATTGATCGTGTTCAATTATTGCACTATAATTGCCTAAATTGGAAGCATTATTTACCAACTATATATTAAAATATTGTTTCTGTTTTCTACGCACTCATGCTAGAAAATTTCTGATTATGTCAAAAAGATGAAGACACAAGCTCTTAAAGTGATTACTTACTTAAGCAATGGTTCTGTTTAATAAATTCGTATTTCAACCAGCGAAAATATCAATTTAGCCATAATTAACTGAATCGACGGTTAAGGGTAAAGGCAACCTTAACGTATAGTATTGCACAATTTTATTTATAGAATCTTCAAGAAACCATTCTAATGAAATGTTTTTGGAGATATATTCGATTTAATGAAACGTTTGCGGTACCCGTGCAAAGTGTGTGCGTATGCTTGATCAATATGGAATTCTCAATCGATATAAGCATGTTTCCCCATCTGTCCATCTGCCGAACTACCCATCTGCATCTCTGTCTGTGGTAAAAATTAAGATATCAGCTTCAAATTTTGGAAACATATTGAATATTCTTGCAGGTTTGTGTTGAAAGTGGACCAAATCGACAAAAGTGTTCGATTACTGTATAATATAAACCGAAAGACACTTTTGTTTTCGAAAGCGAAAAAAAAAATGTTTTCCTCATTATTTATAAGCTACAAATGATACATTGAATAAAAAACTTCTCCTTATATTTTACGGCTAATTCCAAAAACGGAAAAAATTGCTCATGACCACTTAATATTAAAACGTATCGAAAGTTTATTTATATTCATTCTTTTTATTGGTAAAGGTGAATGAAAAGTTCAGCCATACTCGAACATAACCTTGGTAATTGTTCATTGTTATACGTTTGCGTACGAATTCTCTTTTCTTTTAAAAAGTCGGTGTATTAGGTTTTTGCCAAAACTTCGATCACTTTTTCACTTGGAGAATGCACTTGGAAATGCATTTATTGCGAAAAATTGGTGCAATATATATTAATCAAAGAAGTCTCCATAATTTTCTACAACATTTTGCAATATTTTTGGCAACATGACGATATCATGTCGAAAGAACAGCGATCCACCCACCGACCCATTTTCGCACTTCTTCAAATTTGCGGACTCGCAGGCCAGCGAAGCCATGCCGTACCTATCTGAACAAGTAGTAATCAGAAGGCGCAACGCCTGGTGAGTACGGTGGGCGTAACAGAACTCCCCATTCGAGCTGCAGTAGTGTACAACTCTTGCAACAAGTGGCGAGAAAATGGCATTTTCAGTCAATTTGTGTCGTCACTTTTAAATCGGTGAACCCAAAATCGACAATTGCAATACGATGGAACAGCTTCATCATAAGTCTCTGAAAGTGTATGGTGGGCTTCGCCAGCAGATTTCTGCAAATAAACAACAAAATTAATGAAATTGGAAGAAGAAGAATTTTCAGCGCCCCATCTTTAGCGTCGGCGTTCACTGAATAAATTAATAATATTAAATGAAAATCTACTATTTTATGTAGAGGAAGGTCGAAATTAATGAATTCAACTTTTATATACTCTGGTCCCATTTCTTTATCATGTTAACCTGTACAAGTCGCTGATCAAAATTTTTGCAAACTCCTAATATAATAGCACGCTCAAGAAATCCGTGAGATACCGAGTAGAGGTAGGCTGATTATTGACGACTTCATATGATTTATAGGGAGTAGCATTCTGCAAATGAAGTGCATCCAAATTTCATGACATTCCGACCATTAGTTTACGAGTTACGAGTGTCTTTGTAACGCTACAAACAAAATTCGGATTTTTCCTTTGTTTTGAAAATTACAAATGTAGCGTCACTTAAGCGATTGTCACTGATTGTCAAAATGCCACAAAATTTGAACACCTCTTGTTTGAAGTTTTATGGTATCCAAAATGCATATGGATTCGTCAGTGGTGGCGACATCTATATGGCATCCTACGACCTCATTGAGTGATTTGTTAGCTTCTTTTATATGAAATCAGTTTTGATTTCCAAATTAACTGTCACTTAATTAGTTATTTTGTCTGTGGCAAAAGCACGATGACTGTAACAGCGAGATAGAAATTCGAAATCAGGTTTTTTCGTATATTGGCACCCAATAATTGTCGACGAATAGTCCGGGATGATACAACAATTACCCATTCATTGGAAGCTGCTTTAGACGACTTGAAGTGACCTCTCTTTGTTAAAATTATCATGCGATTATCAAAAGCAGCAGAGAATTCTTTAATTGTTTCGCGTCTTTCAATATCTTTTTTCGAGGTTTAGAGCATTCGTGAAGAAATTGTATGACCAACGTAGTGATGCGGCTGACGAACTAGGCACCCTTCTCCTTCGCTACAGTGAAGTGAACGACTCATCTAATATTAGTATGAAAATTAATTCATACCGCATTGCCTTCCAAAAACAAATACGGTACAAAATATTACAAAATACTTTGCTTTTCATAATTTTAAAGAGGGTATACCCATTTCACTGTCCACATGGAAGAGCTGCTAAAGCAATATAAAAACCTTTAATTTCTTACTACAAGAACTAACTTAGATGGGACTCTCAGGCAATTTTGAAAAGCGTTGCGGCACGTAAAAGCGTTATGTGAGCTTTTTAGAATCTACGTTTTACAATTTCTCTGGCATAGAGTTGGTAAGTACACCTCGCACCAAATTTCCCATTCCCCTATGTATGTTAGAGACTCTTAAAAGATTGATAAGAATCGATCGATTGTGCACGAAATTAGCAATAATCTTAAGGATTTGATGGACATAAAAGATTCGCGGCAAACCCAACCTAACAAACCCAACGCCGACTGTCTAGCCAATATGGAAGCGCGCAGCGCTATGGTAAGTCCAAAACCTTCCTATAGGATTTTACAGAGCGACATCAAGAGGCTAGTTTCACCATGGACATGACAACGGGAAGCTAAAGGACTTATTTAACCTTCAGGCAAAGCACGCAAACTATTGCATTTATTGGAATTGCATAAGTCGCACCTTGCTCAGGTACCGCTTGAAAAATATTCATATTTCAAATACCGATTCATGCAGACTCTGCGAGGGGGCGAAGGAAACGTATTCGACGAGCAGTTTAGAACGCCGAACGTCGCGGACTCACTGAGCCTAAGAAAATGGTGGGATTCATAAAGATCCTAAAATTGAAGGGCTAAGGGCACGAGCGAGTACAATAGGTTTTATTAGGTCGCAGTACGGGCTGCTCACCACATTGCAATACAATATAATGCTTGTTTACACCTTTAGAGGCTGCCAGCTAGTAATACCGATGTGAATAAATGGATAAAAAAAATTAATTTTTTACCAGTCGTTTCTTTTATGCGCAAAACAGCGTCAAAAATTATGCAACAATTTAGTTTAAAATAGAAACGTGGTTTAGGTTTTGCTTTTATTTTCATTTTTTATTGTTTTTAAATTGTTTCGTTGTGAGTGATTGTTCGTGGAAGAGCGTTAATAATGACGCGTATATTTGTTCATGTTTTCGCCTATTCAATTTTTTAAGTTTTTCTTTGTGTATATATATTACAAGTTCCATAATTCATATTAAAAAAAGAAATTAATAATTATTCTTGCTAAACCACTAATCTTTTGAGAATAATTCACTCAAAAAAAAAAAAAAAAAACGTTCCAAACCATTCCAAGTAAATATATAATAAATGCGCAATAAATGTAACGAATACGCACACACACACACATACACACACACACACACTATTTAAATTTATTTTAACTTTTCTCACAGCTTCGAAAAATTTTTAATTTTTAGTCTGAAATAATTTGTTATTATTCTAAGTGCTTGTTTGTTATGTAAAGAAAAAAAAAAAAAAAACAAAAACAAAATCCTCTCTCTTTGATATAATAAATTTTATCTTTTATTAAGTGCATCCGAAATAATGAACGCTTTAATATATCTCAGACTGAAATGATGCGCACAATATTTCTTCTCTAATGAGGACACATATATTGGAAATTTTGTTGCTAACTTTTGCAAGAAAATTTGCAAGATTTTTAGGGAAATTGCACATAAAACTCAACGCATTTCATCGGATTCGCTGTTCATGACTATTTTGAGAGCAAGGTTTCATTCTTTCTCTCTACCTAATAGCTTTCATAAGTTCTTGTTGCTCTGTGTTTTGCACACTCTCATGCTTTATAATTATGTGAGGTATATCCCTTCAATCGATAGTAATGCTAATAATAATATGTCTCTATAAATGCATTAAAATTTACTCTGCAACGGCATAACAGCGAAATTTAACATTTATTCGTATGTATAACATGTTAACGTAATATCAATTTGAATAAGATGGCCTTCGATTTTTGACCCGACTAGACTAGATATGGAAATTTCATCATCATAACTTTGCAGAGAGCGATAGTCTAAGTGTTACCCTCCAGAAAGTACTTACTATTTTAATTTCACAAGCATTGCCAAAAACGCTATGAACCTTAGAGACGGAGCATAGACTACGAAAGAAATGTGCTGTACTAGCCAACTAGCAAGGCTTGCCTGCTTATTTTAAGCTTTTAGCTTTGAAAAATATGCTCTTTATTTGATAACAAAATGTTACGTTCAAAAAATAAGTCGAATTTTTATTTTTATTTTGATTCGTTAGATCGCGACAACAGTCATTACTATATAATAGAAATTTCAAGTTCAAAAATAGTTTTGACATAAATATGCAAGATTTTTTGATGGATAATTCCGTCGTACTGTTTGACTTTCTGCAAGCAACTCTTTATGAATGGGGGCGCCATAATAGAGGGAAACAATCAACACAACATTATCGACTTGTTTTAATCTTCTTTGTACAAGTTCGGTTTACCATATTCGCTTGATTGTAGAGCTGTTTCTGAATCGTACATAATTAATCCATCATTTCATGATTCATTTATGATCATCTATGCAAAGCATTTTTTCAAGCACTTCCGACAGACCTTTGTGTTCAAAATAATAAGTGGGTTGATTTGGAACAAGGCGAGAAGATGTTCTGTTTTTCTATAATAAATTGAATGAACAGTTTTAATTGGCATTCCAACAGTCCCTACCTACCTATTCCCTGATCTTTAATCGACCATTGCTGAATACAAAATCCTTGATTTTATAAATATTTCCATCAGCGATCCCGATTAATACTCGTCTCGGACGGCCGTGACCGTTTCTTTCATTGTCTTTTAAATTCTTTTTATCGCTTATTAACTATTGTTTATTTTGTTGTTTTATCGTCATAAGACTTTCTTGAATTTTCCATTCCATCTGCACAAGCAACATCAACGACAACAAAAATCATTTTGAACAAATACAACAATTATAATCAAATTATAAACTGGCAAAGGGAATGTCCGTCAAATGTGCATGAACGTAACAAAAAAATTTTTTTTTTTTTTTTTTTTTTTTTTTTTCGCCGCCTGAGTGGCCGAGTAGGCAAGAGTCTCGACTAGCAACTCAATGGTCGTGGGTTCAAATCTCAAGTGCGGTAGAGTTTTTAATAAAGCCGAAAGCCTTAGATGCTAGTGCTTTAAGACTTTAGTCTTAGAATTTATTCTCTGGCTAAGTTTATAATAATAATAATAATAATAATAATAAATGTATTTTTAATATTAAAATTGCCCTTAATTTTTGAATGCAGTCTAATACACGCAGCATAGTGTTTTGCTTCTATATACATACGCAGTATCCAAAGTTAAAGAGTAATGGAATGCTCAACATTACACAACATCAGTATTTGGATTCAAAGGTATACGAAAAAAAGATAATAATAATAATAATAATAATAAGCAGTTTTGCTTTACAACGTAAATAGAAAATTGTGTTATTGATCTACAAAATTTACCTTTTCAACCGTTGACATTAAGAGCGGATATATTCATTTATATATGCTTGAGCCGATAGTTACTATAATACACGAAAAACGTGCATACATAGAGCAAAAATATGTCTTGTAAATTAAGGACATGTAAGATGGCTACATTTGGATTAAGACGAATCGTGAATAACTATAAAATTAAATTGTAATGTCTATAAAGCATGCGAAGTGCATATAAACTGTAGCTTTCAGCCATCTATCTCAATACATCCTATAAAGAATTTCAGACAGCCAAGTGGGCTCACATACGTATGTGTTCTATATAATGCTGTCGTTACATGTCGTATATAGAATAACAAAGTTACTAACCCACATTTTGTGCGGGGTATGTAAAAAAAAAAAAAAGGAAAAATAGTAGCGGAAAATGATGCATCAGAACAAAACAAATGGATTTAAAGAAGCGGATGTTGCTAAATACATTCTAACAATAAAAATCTAAGCACTCACATACTTAAAAACAAATACTTTACAAATTCTATAAGAGAAAGTCTACGAAAAATGAATGATTTATAATAATAATTAAAAACAAAAAAAAAAACCAAACATTTAGTTGTTAAGTGCAAAATGCAGACATACACACAATCATCACAAGAGAATCAAAAAAGTTGTTTCTTAAAATAAATGCAAGTTCAAAAGGAAGAGTATTTAAATTGGAAACATTAATTTAGAAGAAATACTAAACAAGATTTGATATTACAGTAATATATATTTAGGATGTACATACGATGTTACGATAGATATAATATTATTTTTATGATTGTATCTCCCAATCAAAGAAGATGTTTGATAATTGTTTAATGTTTGTGTGCGTGAGAACGTCGCCAATGCTAATCAAAAAACTAAGATAAAAAAAGGAGAAAGCCACATGCACCTGCACTTATCATAAAGGCATAAAGGCAACAGTCGCAAAAGTCCACACAGCTAATGCCCGGCACTGTCGTGCTAGCGAACACAACTACAAAACCGCTATTCAGACTTGATGTGCATCTAAGTAAATGCCGCCCACTGGGTAGGACTAAGATAATGATGTGGTGTAGAATACTAACCAGAAGGCATGCATTACTTTTCAATTTTCAGTTCGAGCGGGAATACTGAAACGGAATGATTGACGGAAGTGACTCATAACATTGTGGGCGTTAAGTTAATATTACAAATAAAACATGGGTAGACACGTTTTTCTTCCCCAACACTACTTCAATTGATCATATAAAAAAGTTTTCTTGGAGAAACATTGTATATATTTTGCAAAATAAATGAAAAATATGTCTTCGAGATTTGGGTACAGATAAATTAGGCAATTTCTCTCTTTCCACGGAGCACTTACCTTTGCTATGTAAAATTGAAGACAACGAGACCGAAACGTAGACAAACTATTTGCTTTAACTATTTGCAATGAGAGTGAACGAATTGACAATACAGCGAATGAGAAATGAATAAATATTTACTCGTTAATGCATAATTTATTATTAAGAAAGCGATTAGAAGCCGATAGTGAACGAATCCTTCTTTTGTTTTTGTTAGTGTTTTTCTGCTAAAGCGTACGTTTGCTTTTCGTTTTATTAAAACACCTACAGTATCATACGCACACACTGTTTGCTTTCGAGCTCGACCAGTAAGATGAGCGTATTTCCGTGAAGAGTTAAAAACTCATATTCTCCAACTTTTATCGCTTGTTTGTTAATTTTAATGATCTTCTTTTTAGGTGAAATTATTTTGCAGGAACAATTTATGTATACATTTGCTAAGGCATGGGCCATACTTATATGAATAACATATATCGATATATATATCTTCCGCGACATACCCCCACACGTCATCTATAAGAAAAAAATTCATATAGTTTTTAAAAAGTGGCGATAGTCGAACGATGCCTGTCAGAATGTCATGCCACTTCAATTGTTTGCGTACGAGTTACAGTGGGTATGATGGCTCCACTTTTGTTAATAACAAAATGGTGAAAATATCCAAATTTCTTACGTTTATCACACATTAAACTTTGATAGGAAACAATTGAAAAGTGTTAAGACAACTCTACTTCATCGCACGCAGCAGTTTGACGGTGGTTTGCTATTTTTAAACTAACTCGTTCGGACACCGATTAAAACAAAAAATACCAAAAAAAAATCTTGAAATTTTTTCCCGATAATGAAGAAGTGAACTTGTAAGAATTGGCTAATATCTTAAAGGTACGAATACATAGTTGTGTATTCAACAGTTGGCATTAGAGTTTTCGCAGGGTAAGCTCTTCTCAAAATGTGTACCGCGTTGTACACTCACAATGGATAATATGTGCTGTATCACCGGAGAACGGCTGCAGAGTCAAAATTACATGAATTGATATTCGAATTGCTGCCGCCGGATTTTCGACATTTTCAAACGGGACCTCATGTTAAGTATCTTAATAAATTGTTCTCTGAGAAGAGTATTGGTTAGAGAGTCTTTGGGTTGATAATGGCTTTCTTAAAGGAACTTATATTATCTCGGCGATTGCTCGCCGATCGATATATTAGCTTTGCAAATCTATTGTATATCGTACCGATCATTTGCCCGAAAAAATGATTAATACTTCTTCACTACGCGCCATAATACACAGAGCACAAGGTTTATAGTCATATCTCGTTGAAAGTTTTATTTGATGTTCTAACCTTTCGTTTATGATGAGCACAAGAATTTACTTCGTATAAGTAACACTTTTCTGTTTATATATTGGTCATTTCCTTTTCAAAAAGAAGAACGTCCTCTCCTTAGTTCTTCATCTTTTTATCGCTAGTAAAAACAGCAAGTACAAGCTGTATTGCCGCCATTCATTCCCTTTAGAAAATCGCTCTGTAGCTATCTCTTTGAGCACGCACTATTTATTTATTTATATTTATTTCTGTCTTCGTTTTGGGCTTGATAGTTTTTTGAGATTTGCAACAAAATGTACGTTCCGTCTTAATAGGTATGAGAAGAAAGGAAGCAGAAAAAGTCAACGAAGAGTAACTGTACCTCAACATCAATATTGTTATTTAAAAAAACTACTAAAAGTGTAGTCGAGCGTGCACGCAGACTGGAGAAAACAAAAGAGTAACGATCTTGATAATTTTGACATCAGGGCCTCATTCGGTTTATCGAATTTGCAAACACAATAGAATATATCAAATTTAATTACACGATCTTTGCATCTATCAAGAAAAAAACATTTTGGTAAAAGAAGCAAGCGTTGCCAGTTTTGATAAAAAGTCTAATACGACTCTTATACGACCTTGTTTCGAGTAAATGCTTTACAGAAATGAGTAAAAAACGCAGAAATAAGGATTAAAGCAGGAATCGATTTGAAGTCCTTTGCGACAGCAACACCTCTTGTGTTATTTCTTCATATTTGTCATATTACCCTCCTACTTGCTCTCTCCTCTCACCGGTAAGTTAGAGTTAAGTAAATTTCTCAAAGCAGTATTGCGATTACATACTATGAAAATTTGCATTTATGCATAAGCTTGCCGTAAGCCATTGATAGATATCTCACAAAGAACGTTCATAGTTTATATAGTTTTTTAGTTGATCCATTCGTCAATCGATCAAGTCGTGCTTATGGTTGCAAAGCCGTTCGCTTCTTCCTGTAAAGTCGAACGGAATGAAGACATTTTTTTAAAGTAAAGATTTTTAATGCTTTATTTCGGTTTCTTTTTGCACCAGTTTGTAAAAATTGTTAAAGACTCTAAACAGAAGTACCGGCAATTGTAAAAGCAGTGAAAGTGTGTCGAGCGTATATTATTGGAGGACATTTTAAACTGGATAATCCAGTTTATAGTTATCCTTTAATAATATTCCGAATATGTTTCATTAAACTTTCTATATAGTATGTGCTTGCATTAATTTTCAAAATCGATTTGTACGGGTAAAAATGACAAAGAAACGGGAAATATCAGTGTACGTAGCGATTAAATTGGATGATTTTGAGGTTTTTCTACATAAAATAACAGCTTTCCATTTCATATTTACTTACTTTATTTTATTCAATATACGCCAAAGCGAATCATGCTGCGCTCAATATTGCATTTTCGATATTCATTATTTTTCTTATTTCTTATTTGAAGAAATCTGCTACTGAAGCCCATCAAACCCTTTTAGAAGCTTATGATGATTGCCGCTCCATCATATCTCAATTGTTGGTTTTGATTTCAACGGTTTAAAAGTGGTGATTTCAATGTCAATGATAAAGAACGGCCTGGAGAGCCAAAAAAGTTCCACTACAATGAATTGCAAGTCTTATCGGACGAAGACTCGACTCAAACTCTTAAAGAGTTTGCGAATAGCTTAGGTGTTGATGAATCAACTATTTCTAGATGTTTACATATGACAGGAGAGATCCAAAAGGTGGCGGATCTGCTACGACAACCCTAAGCGCAAAACGCCATTGGTTAGACGAGGGGAGCCACGCACATCGACACAGAAGCGGAATATCCATGGCCGTGAAGTCTTGCTCGTTGTTTGGACCGCTGCGAAACCAATATCGTTCCTCCAACACGGTTTTCAAGTGAAAATATTCTCAAAATTAATGCAAGCATCTAATATTTATAATATAATGAATATAATGAAAGGTTTTAACAAAAAATAATAACAACAATAAAAAGAAGAAGAAGAAATAAAAGGTAATGTAATGTATGTAAATTTTGTTCTTCTTTTGAAAACATTTTAACAATATATCTTTTATTATTTACATTTGAAACACATACATTTATAAATATAGAGAGATATCATAACAAAAATATTCTGTATATTTAACATTAACGAGCTTTTCTATATACGTAGACTAGACAAAATACTTACTTTTCCTTTTGTTTTCATTTCTTTTAAAAGTAAATTCTTAGTTTATTTTCACTTTCGATAACAACGCACTTAACATTTTTCTTCCCTGGGCCAGTTCGCCTAAATTCTATATACGACTATTATAATATACTATCCATACTATATTATATTGTTATTATAAATTAAATGAAATAGGTTTGTGTTTCATTTTCAAAATTGACTTTGTTCTATATGTTTAGCTACGTCTGGATGTACTACCTTGACATAGTCCTGACTGCCTTCCCTTAACTCGGGTACCACTGATAAATTGAGATTGTTTATGCTTTCTGGCATATCGTTTGTACGGTTGCACGCATCGCTGTACGTACGCAAGCGTCGAGCTGTTGATGATCGGGTCAAAATTGAAGATTGTATCGTCGATGAACGCTTTATCCGATTCTTTCCATAGATTAAACGTCGAAATTCCATGCGAAAACGTGGATGTGTAGCGGCGTAAACATAGGGATCTATACAGGCTGCTGTCTTACAAAATAGAGCAGGTATCATGGAGCCTATTGGTGTTAGGTATTGTTCTTGACCAAACACACCCAGCATAGCTACAATCGAGTATGGAGTCCAAGCAACGAACCACAGCCCTATTATCAGAAAGACAATTATCGCCAATTTTTGTTCAGTCTTATTCTTGTCTCTATTTGACTGAATTCGATTTGCGGCAAATACTACCCTTAAGATGTAAAAATATGAAGAGCAAATTATTATTAATGGAATACACCAGGCAACAACGAAAAAGATAAACATAAATATGCGTGCGGAAATTTCTCGATTAAGATAATCGAAACTGCATGTTGTTAAAAATCCTTCTGGTACATAAATTGAAAGACCAACGTCAATCGCTGGTATTACACTGAAAAGGCAACTATAGCACCAAATGATCATAATAATAATATGGGTTCGCAACTTGGAAGTGTAACGTAATGGATCTAAAGGATGGACAACCACATTGTAACGATCTAAAGCGATAGCCGTTAAGGTACCAATAGACGCAGTGCCGCTTAGTCCTCCGAGAAAGCCATAAATGCGACAAGCTGTACAAGAGAATATGGAAAAATGGGTAACAATAGAAAAAAGGTAAACCTTACCACTTACCTAATTCACCTAGAGCAGGTCCTCGCTTAAAATTATTATAAGCCGCAATGGGACATTTTAATAGCATTATCAAATCGCTAATCGCTAAATTGATGACCAATTTATTTGCCGGAGTGCGTAACGATTTACATCTGTAATGTGCAGAATATGCAAAATAAACATCATGCTCAGTTTGTCTCATCATATTAACATAATAATGCATCTCACATATTTGCCAAAAAATTTGTAAAACGTAAGTAAGCAATTTGCACAATTGCATACTAATAACAATGCAAAATGTATATTTGATTCTTCCATTGAATGGCTATATTAACAATTTCCCTTCTAGCATGTTTCTAAAGTGTAACAAAGGGGTTCGCCACCCGAAAGAAATCTTTTCGACGAAAGATCACCTTATTCATCAAGTATTTCGTAAAAAAAGCAAGTTGTAGCCTAATCTTTTCCCGGTTGATTTCCAACTTTTTTTAATACGTTAACGGACATGTTTTGAAAATGTTTATGTTTATTTAAAAACCGCTTCTTCGAACAAGAATACGCTAGTGTAGCTTCACTGACGTAACACATGTTGATTAGACATGAGGCTGAGAGCTAGAAAGTTAGAAAGCTTTCAATATTTCAGCTAAGAAATCAAAAGTTTTAGATAGAGATTTGTTGTTGTTAATTACAATGATATTCGACTGTAGAAATGTCACGTAAAGCGATTTTTCCTTCAGCAGACGCAGCGAAAAATCTACTTTATCTTCAAAGCAAGCATACTAATCTTCGAAAGAAAGTTCATCAGGAATATTATTTGTAGGTTGAAAGGCAATTCTAATTGGGGGGGAAGTTATATAAAACAATTTTTATAATATAAAAACATATCTATAACATATTCCAGACTATTTGCCGATCATTTTAGATATTTTTAAATAAGGGGAATTCAATGAAGTTGCTTTAGTCCAAAATACAAGAAGAAAGTTCATGTTTGTATACTTATGATGTAATACATCAAACATTTCATCTTACTTTCATGTAAAAACATGCACTTGTTGAAAGTTCTTAGATTGCGAAATAACCAAAACGTGTATATAATCCATCATAAGTGGTGTAGGGTATAAATAAAAACACAAACTAACGGATTTGAATACTATTTCAATGAAATTGAGCTTTTTGGCTAAAGAAAGCATTTACACTTACCTCACAAACATGAATATAACTAAAGTGTTGCCAACAGCACCCACACTTGATATGACGCAATAGATAAGTCCCATAATAAAGAATAACTCATCGCTTGGTGGTTCGAATTGGAGCCAAAATGGATTTGTTTTCGCTATATAAGAGACATCATAAAGACCTTTATAACTCTCGAGAGGATACGAGCTACAATTATAAATTGGCAAAAGTGATGTAAAGCAAAATATTTGCTCTTCACAATCATATTTATTTATTTGTACGCCTAGAAACGTTTTCTTTTTTACGATTTTTACATCAAAAAGCTGAAAGCCTACGTTACTTACCTAATGGTATAATCTGTGGCGTTCACTGTTGTATTTAATAATTCGCCGTTAATTGCGAAACTCTCGTTAGTATCTATACAGTGTGCTTTTGAACAGTTATCGAATAACAAAATAGCCTCTGAATATTTCGTGGTAGCATTTGATGTTGTTGCGATTGTTGATGTTACAGAAATATTCCCCTTACGAAAGTAAAAATTTGTGGTAGTGCTGCCTGAAATATGAATTATTTGCAATGATGAGGCCAATGCGGCAGCAATATAGGCAACCATTGCTAAATGGATGTTTAAAGTTAGCGGGATACGTTGCTGCGTACGACCCATTATGTTTTTACTGCAATTTGAAATCAATGGCATAACGGTCTTGAATAGCGTTTTTGTACGCACTCGGTTTGTTGAATATGTGATATGCAGGGAATGCTGCTGTAAAAATTTGTAATCGCGTTCATCACAACTGCTGTGAATATTTGAAATATCCATAGCAGCAGTGAGTGCATGGGCACTAGAAAGCACCTTGCCTTTGTTACTTTCGGAATGCCATATAAAGTTTTTACTCCTAATTTTTCACCTGTTTAAAGAAGATAAACTTATTTTAAGTATCTACTGATATTTTTTAAAAATCCATATATTTAGAAAAATTTATTTCGTTAAATTGTTTGGCGGCATACACTCTCTCGTTTTCTTACAACTTCAGAAGTGCTTTGCTGCAATTATAAATGAAAGAATACATAAGCATTTTTAAAATTCTTAAAAAGTTGTCGGCGAATTCTATAATAATATTGCCGTAAAACAAGGGAAAACATTCTAGCGGGACGCGGTCCGCCATTAAATAGCTTGCATCAATTCGTTTAATATAGTTACTCATATAACGACGTTTCAAAATAAGGTGTAATATGGAAAACAATTCAAAAAGTGATCCAATCTGAACCTTTCATATTCAATAGCGTTCATGTTTGAGCTAAATTGCAACCTAATGGTTGAACACAAGAAAACAGGATAGAGAGGCAGAGACACAGACGGACAGACAAGGTCAGATCGATGCAAAAAGTGATTCTGAAACCATCAGTGTAATATAAGACAGGTCTATCGACAAGCCTAATATACCCATGTAACACAAGTGATGCAGAGTACGAAAATATTAGAAATCATAATAAAGGCACATTTTATTAAAAGAGTGAAAAATTTATTGCATTACATTGTTTTTTTAATATTAAAGCATATGGACTTCGTAGGTTAAATAAAAAAAATGTATTGAAAAACGTTTGCATAAAGTCCTTTCGTTTTGAAAAAACTGTTTCGAATACTTTCAATATTTCTTAGACAACACCGTAGAATACGTTAATTTTCGTTATATTCATTATAAGAAACTGCGTAAGACATCTATCTACGCATAGTTCTACATAAGGATTCCGATGCATGCTTGAAGCGCTTTGCATTATTATTAGCAAAAATGTAAACAAATCGTGCTAACAGAAATTGTAAATATCCGATCAGATTAACTTGTCATTACCGATTTCAATCGAATCGTTGCTCTACTCCACTCCGATAGGCGCATGACATCTGCAGAGTTCGAACATCATCTCTACATTGCTCAACTCACACTTGCTACATTGAGTATTTGAGTATACATGAGCGCGGAATCAACTTAAGCGTACTCGACGATCGAAAGACATCCAAACTGGAAGTAATTTAGATATTGCCCCTCTGTAATTCGAACACCTACGCAGATGAAAACATTCAAAGGCAAGTCCCAAAAGGACGATTACCTATTACACTGTCGCTAGTGCTTGTAGTTACGTTGTTTCATTTATCTAATTGCACAATTAAACAAGCTTTCAAACGATCCTGAAACTAAACAGCCTGGTTACCAAAGATCATCAAAACGCCGTTACAAAGCCAATTACAAAGCCGTATATCAAGCATGTTAAAGTGTTGTATATAGGCAGAAAGGGCTATTAAATATCGTTTAGGATATTTGGTCAACTGTCTTCATCATAAAATATCAAAAATTATAATGTGTTACGGTATCCCAACGACTTATTTTTCATGAAAAACCTTAAATAGGCAACGCTTTGAAAGATACGTCCATGGGCAGGTAATTCGAGTTTACGAATATCAATAATATGCATATTTATGTCATTAATTTATATCTCCCTTATGTGGAATAAATTGATATAAAATTTAGATGCGTTGATAGACCCTTTTAGTTAGAACTGACTATGTAAAGAGACTCTCATGAAAGGCAAACCCTTCTATAGGCGACAAGGTCTAATTTGTACTTATTTATAATGGAAGCAAGGGGAAAATACTAAAAACCCTGAGAAGTAAATTGACTTGACAAATTTGGACCCCGTTAGTTGGTGCTTTGAGCATCCGCCAATATGAGGGCTTTTATAACAATTAAGCCTTCACTTAAAAATAATGTTTAAGTGTTAATGTGTTGTCATGAAAATTTTTGAATGTCTGGATTGAGCATAATGGTTTAGGGTGTCTAAAAGTTTCGTCTCGCCCGGCAAATGAATTACGCGATTTGTATTTAAATGAAGAAATGCGCATAGAAGCGAAAAACGAATAAAAAGGAAACTTATTTCATTAATAATGACGTAATATTCTGTTAAACTATACACAAGCATCGATACAAAAATAGGAAAAACAAAGTTTTCAAAGAATTTATGAAAATTGGTTCTGCGCATCACTATTTGCTCTACACTCCGGCAAGGTAAAGACCAATTTTATTGCATATATCTTCAGTTGATAAAATCCCCAGCACTTCTTAATCCTGAATAGTTTCATAATTTAATAATGTTTTCTGCAAGCTCGCCGTCGAAGCATGTGCCCGCCATGGTTTAATAAGAGTATGAAATATTATAAAAATAGGAAAAATAAACTTTTCAAGAAATTTGTGGAAAGTGGTTCTGCTTGCGACTATTTTGCCTATTCTGCATCAAGGCATAGACCAGCAATATTATTGCAGACACCTTCAATTGGTGAAATCCTCACTACTTGTTAATCCTAAATATTTTTTTAAGTTTATCAACTCCAAAGGAAAAATCTCCATATTCCCTGACATGTTTCTTTCAATGGCTCTGAGCCCTCTGATGATGCTGAAATATCGAATTTCTTCGCTGAATACTTCCGACAAAATTTTTCAACTGAGTATCCGTACCTGATAACTAACTCGGTTTTGATTTCTAACTTGGTCATTTAAAAAATCGACGGTTTGCATGGTTCGAGGTCTCTAGAATACAGTTGTGCGCCTGCAGCTAATCGGATTCCATTATGTGTACTCATATCAATTCATAAATGTGAAAATAGACATCACTGAGAGTTGAGAACTGTAAGGGCATTGCCAAGTTGAGTATCTTACCTAAATTGTTTAAGCGAATTGTTACTCAGCGTTTACCTTTTGCTATGAAATTTTATATTTCTTCATTCGGGCATTCCTTCCTGAAAGGAGGAACGATAGTCACGAATCTTTTAAAGTTTACTTGCCGTGTTTTCAAGGCTCTTTCTAGTGGTTTCGCACGGATGTCGTGTATACTAATTTTAGTAAAGCGTTTGCCTTGCTTAACCATAACTTATTGATCTTTAAACTCCAGATCTCTGGCTTACGTCTGCTCTTGCCTGAATAACAGACCGTTCAGGGTTCTGTTTAACTTCAACTCAAGGCAGCCTCTTAGGACCCCTTTTATTTCATTTATGCATTAATGATCTCAGCCAGAGGCTTTCCGTCTCAAGGAGAAAATCATTCATTACTGAGTATTTCATTGATTAACACAAGTTGGAAAACGAAGAATCGTTCATCGATTTAGGGATTCTGTTCGACCAAGGATTACTTTTTATTTTGCACATAAGATTTGGTCCAAAGAGCTTAAGGATCCTTACATTACAAAAAGGCTTAATTAAGTTAATAAATGGTACTATCGATTCGCCCACATTACTTAGTAATATAAGCTTCAATGTCCCCAACCACTTCTCTAGGCACTTTATCTTTATTAAACTTATTCAATGCAAATATAATTGTGAGTTGTTTAACAAAATCTCAGAATCGAATTCTTTAAAGTCTATCAAAACACCTATTCTTAATAGACGTATTTAAAGTAACTTGCAATCTTAACACCTCACCATTATTCGAGAATTAGCTGTTGTTGTTTACTGTTGTTTTGCATGTTTGCAATGGCTTAGGTTTTCACTTGCAATTTGGATCTGTAGTCGTTGTGTACTAGTTGTGTAGAAATTAATGAAAACACGTGTTCTTAGTAGATCTGCACATCGCTTACAGCCTGACTTTAAAACTAGTTCATCCAAAAATTATGTTTAATATTAAGTTATCTTTAATACCATTAAAAAAGTGCAGAGTGTCTGGATTTGCTACGCCAACAATCCGGACATTGACTCAGTGTTTTTTTATGCTGTCACATTGATCAACAGTCAACGTTTTGCCATACAGTGTTAATTCACACGCTTTTTTTTCTATTATTTTTTCTTTCTTTACTTCTCCTTGTACACTTTGTATTAATTTTTAATACTAATTAGTATCAGATTTACTTCTAACAGTCATTTGAATGCGGTCCTTAATTTATGTTAGCCGAGTTTCATGTGTAAGCAAAAAAAATGAATAAATAAAAATAAAAGTAACATCAATTTTTGACCCATTATTTTTTTTTCGATTTTTGTTTTCTTCATCCGAATTTCAAAGATGATCAATATAAACAAGTAAGAAAAGCTTATTTGTCTGTGGTCAAATCTTTTCTAACCATCACTCTTTATCTTTAAAAATGTAAATAAATCGAAACGAATGCCGTGTAAGACTGGCTGGAGACATTTGTGGCCATTTTTTGTTCCAATTTTATACATGGATTTAATGTAGGAGAAAATTTTTCTCGTCCTGCATTTTTTGGCTTAGAAGTGATGGGGAAAGAAACTTAAGAGCACAAGTATTGCATTGTATGGGTGCTATATTTAATCGATTTGACCTACTTCCGAAAACAATCTGCATTTAGAATTTCTACACCTTTTGCCAAATTTGAAGTCGATATCTTAATTTTTGCGAACGAAATAATACATTTACACCACAGGTGGGCACATATCATCATCGATTCAAAACAGCACGCTCATCAAAAATATATGTGAGTACATATTCCATATGGTCTCTGCAGTTTTCTTCTATGCGTTGCGAACATTCTGACATAATGAATTTATCTCTGTTCGACGGTGAATATGAAAAGAAGGATTCAAAATCAAAATTTCTATTACTATCCAATTATCGCTATTTTATTACACTGACTGGTCGAATGTTTTAATCAACTTGACTATTCTCGTCGATCAAGTAGATGTTTACAGAAAGTTTTAGGGGGAATTCTTGTCTCTTTGTATCAATTAATTTATTTTCACATTTTGTATATAAATAATTTATAAACTAAATTTGTAATTTTGTTGGCATTGCGCGGCAATGACGACGAATGATTTACCAAATTTACATACAATGCATTAATTAATAATAATTGCCGTAGTTGCATCTTTAAGTTCTTTCTCCCTTACTCTACTTATAAATCTGGCATGTGGTTTATAAAGCGTACACATAGATATTGGGGACATGTTTAAAGTGGTTGGCTATCATTGAAATAACTAAATTGTAACGAGTATTTTTATCGGGGGTATGCTTATGACTTCCCAGGAAGTTCCTTTCCAAAAAAATTAATAA